CAATTCATCAAGGAAAAATATGAATATGAGTAGGAGGTGCTAGACAGATATGTATTTAATCACTCAAACTATGAATTTAAATGCTTTTCATGATTTTCTTAGTGCCAAGATATTAAAATGTCACTGAGTCTTTTTGGTATGTATATCAGTTACTCCCTTTAGTTCTGCATACTTCTTTTTTGTTTTTTTTATGAATTGTAGTTTTTGATATATAGTTTGGTTTGTATATTTTGTTATTCATTTTTTAGATTTGCAACCATATTCAAGATTTTGCAAGTTATATGGGATTAAGTTTTACATGTGCTACTAACTTTATTAACTATGGAAAGAAAGCATCATGTAAGTGTTTCTTAATAGTTTCACATTATCAAAAACTTATTAAAGTTATTAATAATTAAGGAGTTGATTGTTAATGTTGATGTACTCATTGTTCGTAAAATAACTTTATCATTTTAGCTACAACAAGAACACAAGTTTAGATGTGGAAGAGAGCATAAGCAAGACGAAGCATAAGAGGAGCACAATTCTTTGTAAGTGTCTTGCTTCTTATTACAAAATTTTTAAGTTATTGAATTCAAATTAAAGACAATATTTAAAGTTCACATATTATTATTATCAAAAATAATCTTTAAAGGATACTAATACGTCATAATCTTTAACAAAAAAAAAAGAATAAAAAGATAAATTCATAGAAGGAACAAAAAAATATTAACTACTAACAAATATGTGACTGAAATAATGCTACATGCACAATGAATAAAGATTTATTCAAAAGATAAGGATACTTTTCAATCTGAAATAAAAAAAAATCAAGAAAAGGATTAAAAATAATTAAATTTGATTATATATATGTTGCAATAATAATGCTGATAATTATCAATACAAAAAAAAGATCACTATATTTACCAAAAAAATTACAAAATATTACGCTTATAAAAGTTATAATTTTAAAAATGAATTAATCTTTATTTTAGAAAAAAACATTTATCCAACTAAATAAAGAGGTTTTAAAACTTCTTTGCCAAGTAGCTAAAAATTAGGATTAGATAACTACTAATTAATTCATATTGAATTTTGAATTTTAAGTTTTAAACAACCCAATTAAATATTAAATAAATAATTTATGGATATATGAATTATTTATATAAAGTCATATATTAAATATAACTAATCACTTTTAAATTTCATCAATCTTTAAGCAATTGGTGAAAAAGATTTACTCTCCATTATGCAAAGAAATCCTAAATTTCATTTTGTCGAGGTAATCATCAATTTTTATCACTTCTTTTCATATTTTGGTATTGAAAATCTCATGAATCAATCTTCATCACTTCCTTTTATAGTTTGGCATGTATAGGATTGTTTACCGAAGAAAACAAGCATACAACTCCTATAATTTTTTAACGCAACAAAGAAATAGTAGAAAGATTTATAAGTATGAAATTTATTATAGGCCAAATCATAGATCTATTTGATATATGCTAGAGAAAGAGATTTCGTGCTTGAAGTGTATCCACAAATATTAGGTATGTATTGAAATTTCTTAATTTTTAGTTTTCTATTAGTGTGTAACCATCGGCATAAAAAAATCAACAGAACATATGATTTTTATCTATAAATTTTGTTTTGACTTTTTATTAATGCTTATATCTTTTATTTTATTTTTGGATTAATTTTCAGGTTTTGCTTTCGTGTATATGAATGATGAAAGAAATGCAATGGTTGATATTGCTTGCTTTTTTATTTCTTCTTTTGAGACTAAAGAGGATAAAATAGATGACAGAAACTAGAAAGTTTGATTGCAGTTTACATAATCATGGTTGCTTTTTTTAATCATAATAATAAAAATAATAAATAAATATACAAAGATTTTACTTGAAGAGAATGTAATAAGTAAAATTATCATTATCATACTAATAATAAAGAATTATCTTCTTTTTAAAGTCTTTTATAAAATTATTTAAATTTAAAATTGAGAAGTTAATTAGTTTTAAATGATAAAGATCTTAGGGTGTGTGGTTCCCTTTTTTTGTGGGAAGTTATCACATATTTAATTTGAATAATAATAATAAAAATGTCTTTTTGTACGGTTATTTTAAAAAATATATATATATTTTAAAAAAGTAAATTTGTCCGGTGGTGAAATTGTAAACAGAAAAATTGAAACTTGAAATTAAAATTTAAAAAATGTAAAATACAGAATTCAAATTTCCACATAAAAAAAATAAAAATGAAACATGTCAAATTGATTTTTTTAAATTTAAAAGTGGTTACCTAAAATTATTCAACTACTCACATAAACCTTTTCTCTATATAGTCATATATAAATCCAATTAAAATAATTATGAATGTCTTCTAATATGAATTTTCTTCTTCTTCTTCTTTGCTTCTTCATCTTTTAATTTTGTCTCAAAATGTCATTTGAAAATAATAAAATCTTAATTTTATGTTTGCAATCTTTTAAAACAAATAATCTGCAAAATTGTATTTGAAAAAAAAAAAACGTAATGATAGTTGATTAATAAAATTTGCGAGTAATCTTTTAATTTTGAGTTAGGGTGAGGGAAATAGTTATTCGTAATATATAGGTAACTAATTAAAATAGGATTATTATTATTATTATTTAAATGAAAGCGTACAAAAAACATATTTAAATTGTTTAAATTTTGGGATTGACAAGTTAATTAATTTTAAAAGCACCACAAAAAATAGATTATTTAAATAATTAAAAAATATTAAATGCATGTAATAAGGTTAAATAATAAATTACTGTTTTATTTTTAAAATAGTTTTTAAATTTAAATGTATGTAATTCCTTTTTCTGTAGAAAAACTATTTTTTACTATCTTTCCACGACCTCCATATTGATTTCAAAACAAATAATAATAATAATAATAATAATAATAATAATAATAATAATAATAATAATAATAATAATAATAATAATAATAATAGTAATAATCTTTACTTATTATTAAATTAACTAAATTAATTTAAAACCCGTAAATAAAATTAAAATTACAAACACAAAAGGAAAAAAAAAACTGAAAATACGGTTGAGTTCAAATTTTTATTTTTAAAAAATATATAACTTCCCATGTTTTCTAAAACGAAAAAAATATGTATTAGGGACAAAATCCAAATTTTACCACTTGGAAATTTTAAAGAATTAGATTTAAATTTATCATTATTATTTTTGAAAAACAGATATTTTTTATAGATATATTGATTTTTAAAATGAATTGCAAAGCTTTATTTCTTAAAAGAAGTCCACATGGCAATGTTAACACAAATGCACATTTATTTAATGTTATTAATGCGGTAAAATATACATTTTAAAACTAATTATATTTAGTATTTGTAAATGATATTTTTGAAAGTTGCGGAGAATTATTTATAATATATTATCCACATTCATTCATAAAGAAAAGGAACGTGGAAAAAATAATTGAAATTTTAAAGGTAAAAGATAACGCTAAAAGATAATTCAAATTAAATAAATTGATTTTAAGATCCGAATTGAAAAATAAAAAACTGAACAAATCACACTTTTAAATGCAAGATCCATTTTTTCTTCTTTATTGCTATCCAACTTTTTTGAATTTTTAAAATTTAATTATAATTGTTCATGACCGATTCAAAATTTAACATTAACAAAAACTATCACTTTCAATATATATATATATATATATAAAATTTCTTTACTGCCCTGCATACATATTTAAAACTTTTACTAAATATTTTTATTTTAAAAAAAATATATTATAATACAGTTAAACGTTCTTAATATTCTGAGCTACACATTCTTAATATTCTACTACGGTGTCTATAGGGCAATATGGACTCTATTTAGGGAAAAATAAAGATTTAAAGTTGGGTGACAAAATTAGTTTACTCTTAAAATAAATAAATAAAAGTCAAGTCACAAATTTTAATTTTTTTATTTGGCAAATATTATTTGAGAAATGAAAAACGTTAGGGAAAAAAAGTAAAATATCAGTAAAAAATTATTCAAGTAATTAAGAAAAGAAATTCTTTTAATTATATTTAGAAAAAATACAATGTAAATCTAGAATTGTTGGATTGCAAAATATTTAAGAAGCAAATATATGAAAGTAAATAACTATGGTTAGGACTTTGCTTTAATTAATTAAATCTCAACTATTAGTTCTAAACCATGACATGTGTCTTCAATCCAAGCTAGAACTTGGAGAAAATGGAGAGAAGAGAAATTGAGAGAACCCGGATCTAAGATTTTCATTGAGGAAGGTAAAATAAATAAATTATAATAATTCTTTTTTATATATTACTAATGCAACTACTATAAACACCACGTAATATTTATATATTACTAATTTGCATATTTTTTCAAAAAAATTGAATTTATTAATGAAAAAAATACTAACAAATTACAAAATACCTAAATTACTAAATCAATTTATGAACATGGGTTAAATTAAATTTGTGTAATTGTAGTTATTTTTTTTTCATATTGAATTACAGGTCTAAAATTTAGGTAACTGATCAAGATTTGTTTTTTCTTTTTTAAAACTTTATAATTCTAATTATTTTAATTTGTAAATTGAATTTTAACAAAAACATTTAAGCGATGATTTTTAACAACGTCATTTGGTAGTTTTAGAACAAGGCCAAAACAAAAGAAAAAAATAAATAAACAACAATTAACTATTTGATTGGAAAATAAATTAAATAATGTCATGATACAAAAATAAATTTAAAATAAAACATGTAACTGAAAAAAAGAAGAAGAAAAAGTACACATTAATAAAGAAATAGCTATACACGATAGTTTCTAACGAGAAAAACGGAGCACAGCCGTCAAACCCTACTATTCAACCTTTTCCGGTGGCAATGGCCACCAGTACCACTGGTCAGCCTCCCACTGGGGGTGATCGAGCACCTATAGAGGCAATTGCTTCTCCAAAGCTTAATTTTTAGCTACGCTACGACCTACGCAACCATCAGCTAAACCTATACCCATGAAGCCTGTTGCGTACCTCCATGGGGAACCAAGAGTAATATGGGAAGAGGACGAAGTGGAGCAGATGATTATTAAGGAGAATCTGGAATTTGCGGTGATAGGAAAATTTTCTTATGGATGGCCGGGCATCCAGGATCTGAGGAAAATAATTCCCAAACAATGCGAGTTGAAAGGGGAATGCAATATTGGACTACTTAGCAATAGATATTTATTGATTCGGGCGTCTTGTCTAGAGGATTACGTGAATTTGCTCTCAAAACCAGCCTATTACATCATGCACAAAGGATGGACCTATCCAATGAGAACTTTGAAGTGGGATCCACTATTTGATCCAGAGGAAGAAACGTCAACAGCTATTGCATGGATCTCTTTCCCAGCATTACCACCGAATTTTTTTGTCAGGGAAGCAGTGTTTTCATTAGCGACGGCGGTAGGGAAGCCATTACAGGTGGATCTAGCAACAAGAAATCAAACAAGACCAAGTTGTGCGAGAGTTAAGGTGGAGGTTGATCTTTTGAGGGAATTCCCTAAAAGAATTAACGTAGGGGTTAGGAAAAAATCAGGAGACATAAGTGAGAAATGGGTTAAAATCAAATATGACTACGTGCCAAAATATTGCAAAAATTGTAAGATACAAGGGCACAATGATCAGGAATGCTATGTAATTCATCCAGAATTATTTCCTAAGGACCAGAAGGAAGGGGGAACGGAAAAGGAGACAGGAGAGGATAAGAGATTAGCCGAACAGCTTAAAGAAGGACCAAGGGTTGGGGAACAACAACAACCAAAAGCTAAGGATCAGGCGGGATTCAAAGAACAGAAAAATAGAAGGGGAGGTGGATGGAGAGCCCAAGACAGAGGGAAACCCGAACAAATATGGAACAAGAAGAACATTCAACAGGAGAGAGTAGAAATTGTTACAGAAAACAAGTTCGGTGCGCTTAATAATAACGAAGAGACAGGGGAAACAAGGGAGGAAACACTCAAACAAGGGGCGAAAGATGAGAAAAAGCAGTGGGAAGAGGAAGCTGGGGATCTGAATAGCAAGACAAGAGGGAAGGTGATGGAAGAAACAACAGCAAAAGAACACGAAACTCCTGTTGATATGAAAAATGGCGGGCTGGGAGGAGGATTAATGGGAGGGGAAAAAATGGAAGGGGATGCGAGAAACAGTAACATGGAGGACAATAATAAATATGCAACGAGTGATAAGTGGGGGACGGACAAGGGAGAAGAAGCTGGCTCCACGCTAGATGAAAGTAATAAGGGTAAGGCGGGAAGTCTGCCTGATTTGGAAGACATTACAAAAGAAGAAAAACAACAGAGGAAGGAAAGGGAAGAAGATGAAGAAATTGAAGAGAATATAGCTGATATAGCAAAGAGTGGAGACCTATCGCCAAGGCAAATAAATTATTTGCAAAGTGGGGTCAAGAGGGGAAAGACAGGATTACCGTCACTTCCATTACAAGTGAAAACAAGGAGTAGGGATAGGCCAGAAGATATGTCTCAATGATTGGAAAAGCCATCTTTTGGAATATTAGGTCGGTGAAATCTCAAAAGGCGTTTGAGAGACTAATGGACCTAAATAGAAGACACAAATACAATTTTATAGCTCTTATGGAACCTTTTCAGGATCCACAAGAGCTAGAACAATATAAAAGACGACTAGGAATGCTTAATGCATATTGCAACTGTTCAGCTAAAATATGGTTATTTTGGGAAGAAGATTGGTGCGGGGAAGTAGTAAAGGATAGTGCACAACAACTTACTATGAAGATAAGCAAGCATAATATGGAATTTCTGTTAACGGCAGTGTATGCTAGATGCGATGCGCTAGAACGACTAGAATTGTGGGAAGAGCTGGAAGACATAGCCGACAGAAACAACAAACCATGGCTGGTAGGGGGTGATTTTAATGTGATCATGAATGAAGACGAAAAACAAGGGGGGTTGAATTTCACGCAATATGAGGCAATGGATTTCAGTCAATGCATAAATAATTGTGCGCTGATTGAGATGAAGTATGTAGGAAGCAAATTCACATGGTGGAATGGAAGAATTGAAGGAGAGTGTATCTTTAAGAGATTAGACAGAGTATTCGAAAATCAAGAGTTTTTTGACATTCTCCCTTCAAGCGAGGTACACCAAGATGTAGTTCAGATGAAGAGCCTACAGTGAGGCCGTTTAGGTTTCTTAATTTTTGGACCAAACATCCAAATTTTAAGAAAATCATTGAAGAGAACTGGAAGCTTGATTTTGTAGGTTGTCCTTTCTTTGAATACCAGGCAAGGATTAAAAAAATAAAAAGAGTGCTGGCGAAGTGGAGCAAGGAAACGTTTGGGAATATTTTCCAACAAATTGCTACGTTGGAGGACGAGATAAGGGTGAAAGACATACAATTAGAAATAAATGCATCACCGGAGAACAGGGCAGAACTTAAAAAAATAGAGGCTGAATTGAAAAAAATCATGTATATGGAAGACGAATTCTGGAAACAGAAGGCAGGGATGCGATGGTTTAAAGACGGGGATAGAAATACAAGATTTTTTCACAATTATGTGAAAGGGAGAAGGAAGAAACTACAACTGACACAAATCCAAACAGCTCAAGGGGATGTGATCACTACAAGTGAAAACATTGGCGCTGAGGCGGTGTCGTTCTTTGGGGAGCAATTCAAGGAAGATAATACGCATGCGGGAGAAGAGATGTTAGACATAATACCAAAAATTATCATGGTGGAGCAAAATAATGAGATGATCAGGATATCAACCACAGAGGAAGTGAAACAGGTGGTCTTTGAATTAAATGCAGATAGCGCAAGTGGGCCAGATGGATTCTCAGGTATGTTCTTTCAGAGCAGTTGGGAAATCATAGGGAAAGACATAGCTAGAATGGTACGAGCATTTTTCTGCGGGAAAATAATTCCCAAAAGCATTACTCACACAAATTTGGTCCTATTGCCAAAAAAGGATAAGGTAGGGAGCTTGACTGATCTTCGACCAGTGAGCCTGTGCACATTTGTGAGTAAGATTTTGTCAAGAGTTTTACATGACAGAATTGCCAAGACGCTACCACATATTATTTCTATAAATCAGACGGGTTTTGTCAAAGGAAGGAGTATAACGGAAAATGTACTCCTAGCCCAAGAAATCATTAGAGATATCAACCTGAGGAAAAAATATAATAATGTGGTAGTAAAATTGGACATGGCAAAAGCATATGATAGGGTTTCATGGGTCTTTCTCATCAAGGTGTTGCGAAAATATGGATTCTCTGAAATAATTATTGACATGATTTGGAGGTTAATGTCAAATAATTGGTATTCAGTATTAGTGAATGGAAAGGCGCTTGGATTCTTCCAATCCTCACGAGGATTAAAACAAGGGGACCCATTGTCCCCTACTTTGTTCATTATAGCAGCAGAGGTGTTGGCAAGAGGATTGAATAAGCTGCACAATAATAAAGAGTTTAAGGGATATGGGATGCCGAAATGGAGTCCTCCCATTAACCACTTATCATACGCAGATGACACAATCCTCTTTTGCTCAGGGGACAGAAAGTCTATAAAATTGATGATGGAGGTGCTACGGAAATATGAAAAGGTGTCGGGACAAATGGTAAACTTGAATAAGAGTTTTTTCTACTTGCATGATAACACTCCACTAATAGTTGGAATGAGACTGAGAAGAATCACTGGAATAAAACAGGGCTCTTTTCCTTTTATTTACCTTGGCTGCCCAGTCTTTTATGGAAGGAAAAAAAGAGAATATTATGATGAGCTGGTGAGAAAAATTCAAAAGAGACTCATGATATGGCACAACAAATGGTTATCTTATGGAGGCAAGTTCATACTGGTGTCAAATGTGCTCCAATCCATGCCGATATACCTGTTATCAGCTATGAATCCTCCAAAGAAGACTATAGAATGTTTACATCAAGTATTTGTTGGTTTTTTCTGGAGCAAAACAGGAGGAGCAAAAGGTAAACACTGGATTTCTTGGAAAGATTTATGTTTTCCAAAATACGAAGGGGGCTTAGGTTTTCGATCTTTGCATGAGGTTACAAAGGCATTGTTTGGAAAGATGTGGTGGAATTTCAGGACATCCACCTCCTTATGGAGCTCCTTCATGTGGAATAAGTACTGTAAAAAATACCACCCAACTATGGCCAATGGGTCAGGAGGCTCTCATACTTGGAGGAAAATGGTAGAGGTTCGAGAAGAGATGGAGCATGATATATGGTGGCAGATCAAGGGAGGAGGAATGAGCTTTTGGTTTGACAATTGGACGAAACAAGGTGCGCTTTACTATATTGAAGAACAAGGAAGAGGGGATGAAGAAATTGAAGTCAAAAACTTCATAAGGAATGGGAATGGGATAGACAAAAGCTGAGAGAGCTGATATCGGCAAAAATGACTGAGTATATTGTGGAAAGCATTGCTCCAAACTTTGAGGAGGAGGCAGTTGATAAGCCATGGTGGATGGGAAATTCAAGTGGGGAATTCACAGTCAAATCAGCATATGACTGTGTAAGGCATAAAAAGGCGGAGGACTGGTGGTGGAGATGTATATGGAGTAAAGGGGTGCCTTTTAAGATTAATTTCCTTTTATGGAGAACCTGGAAAAAGAGAATTGCAACAGAGGATAATCTTAAAAAGATGAGAATAAGTATAGCTTCAAGGTGCTACTGTTGTGAAAGCCATGATCAGGAATCTATAGCCCATCTTTTTCTAACAACTCCCATAGCCCAAAAGCTATGGAAGCAGTTTGCTTCGTGTGTAGGTGTCCAAATAGAAGAAGGATTACAACACACAATCACACAATGGTGGAGAGCATCACACAAACCAAAATTAAGGGCTATTTTTGAAGCAGTCCCGGCAATTTTGATGTGGGAGCTATGGAAGAGGAGAAATGTAAGGAGACATGGGAGGAATGTAACTTATGAGCAACTCATGCAACAATGTCAGAAAGGAATATTTCAACTACTGAAAGTACTATACCCTTGGATTGACATTCCTACGGACTGGAAAGAAGTAGTAGAGGTACTAACGAAGTATAAACCGAAGTTATACCACCACAGAGTCACATGGGAAAAGCCACAATTAGGATGGTTGAAATGCAACACAGATGGAGCGAGTCGAGGAAATCCGGGAGAAAGTTCCTATAGTTTCTGTCTAAGGGATAATCATGGAGATTTGATATATGCAGAAGCACAAAAAATAGGGCAAAGCACATGTATGCAGGCAGAAATTATGGCAATACTTAAGGCCTTAACATATTGTGCAAACAACGACATAACAAACGTGGTTGTGGAATCTGATTCATTAAGCCTAACAAGGATGATCAATAAGGATTGGAAAATACCATGGGAATACACAAAAGAAATAGAGGAGATACATATACTTCAGGGAACAACACATGCAATTATAGTACATGGATACAGAGAAGTAAATCAACTTGCAGACACAATGGCAAATGAAGCATTCATGCAGCAGGAAGGGATTCAGTGGAACAATTTTAATCAACTAACAGTTGACTGCAAGAGAATAATAAACATGGATAAAATAGGCATGCCAACATTGAGGATTAAGACAAGAAGGATCAGCGTGCAGAGGCAGCAAAATGAATAATAATTACAGAGTAGGACATTTTAAGACAACTTGGTTGGTCTTATTTGGACGGCCAGGTGCTCTTTTCCATTTGCTTCTTTTTCACTTTTGGGCTCGTTGGGCCAATGTAAATATTTTTGGTGTTGAATAAATGAGCCCTGAGCTCGCTTAATTGAAAAAAATAAAATAAAATAAAGAAATAGCTTAAAATCTGTTGGTAATTTTTTTTTTTAAAAACGACAATTATCTAAATCATCTCCTAAAATCTTTCACCCACTTCCTTAACTATCTTAATCTCTTAAAATTCAACTATAAGCCAAAAGTGCTACGTATCAATTCAAAGTTTAAGTTTATATAAAGATGACTTTAAATATTTCAAATCTTTATTTTGTAAAAAAAAAAAAAAACATGTTATCAACAGAATGATTTTCGATTTATCATTTCTTAGATGGATAAATTTAAAATACTATAAATTCATATTTTGCAAATAAAGTCACATGTTTCATCAAAATAATTAACAATGTTTTCCGTTTGTTTTTTTTTTTTAAAACTACCTCCAGAAAAACATAATTTTAATTTGATAAATAATTATGTTAAAATTTGTCAAATAAAACTGCCAAAACACAAAATTGATAGTTACAATTATTTTAATAATTTGGAGATTTTCTCAAAAATAATTTTATCAATTAAAAATACACTAACAAATGTTCTTATTTAAAAGATAAATTACCGATAAATAATTTTCAAATTATAATATATTGAACAAAAAATAACGTTAGGTTATATTTACTAAAGAGTAAAATATACCACATATTTAAAAAGGCTAAACAAATCTAAAAATACATAAATAAAATAATAGATTTATAATAATCAAAGGAATAGAAGATGCTCCATTTTTTTATCTT